TTTAAATGATGACACATGTTTATGTGATCTATAAGAAAAATTATAAAAAAATATTGCGATTTCTATATATTTTACTGTTAACTCTTAAATTCAAAAATTTTTCTCAAGTGTAAAGCACAAAACAGTTTATAATTCAGAAGTTTTCCATTGTTGTAGTAATTAGAATACGCTAAGGATAAAAGTAAGCATTATGACAAAGCAACTTTGTCAGCAGCAATTGTGCTCTTGAGATTAATAGTACATATACACATATGTGACGCGTTCCCAAGAAAGGTACCTAAGAAGGAAAAAATTTGAGGTTATGTTTTAAATTTTTTGAGTAAAAATACAGAAAGAGAATCAATTATTAATTAAAAATTGTTGGTTTTCAAGTTTTTATTATATTCAAAATATTCAATTAATATTGGTTTAAAATTAAAATAATTAAAAATGAACTTTTAATCAAGATAAATCTAACTCGAACTCAACCTATAATTCGTTTGATTCTTAGGTACCTTTTTTCGGGTCGCGTCACATATTACATATAGATTAATAGAAACTAAACCACTGATTTCTAATTTAAATATAAAGACACATGTTACAAAGATTAAAACTTTTGTATTGCATCCTAAAAGTCAGCTTTTCCACAAAAAATAATTGCACCATGTGCACTGGAGGCATATGTCATTGATAACTGTGAAGTAAATTAAGTTATGTTCGCATATCATCACGCAGAGTACGGTGTACCGGTATTGTACTTGTATCGTACGAATATGCTGTATTTTCATAAATGACAGTACAATGTATTGGTATTATACTAGCCTCATACTTTTATGGAGTACTTATATCTTATAATTTTAGTCGTACGACATACCGTCGTTATACCGTCGTACCAATACGTACATACTTAATTATTTTGTATAGGTACAATACGAGCATAATCTCAGTACGCCGTACTGGAAAAGGACGATCAGTACGCTTGCGGCTATCTGGGTACCTGTATTTAATTTGACACTATGTGTCACAAAATCCTTCTATTCTGGTTCTTTAAAAAACTTACATGATTTTGTTCCAACAATATTGTAAATTAAAGGAAATGAATTTATCATTCGGCAATAATATTATTAAATGTGAAAGAAATTAACAAGCTCTCCGAACCAATTTCTCACTTAAGCATCTTTTAATTTCATGTATCGATAGTACAACTGTCCTAATACAAAAACCTGCTTTTTTGAAAAATATTTTCGAAATCAATTAACAATTTCAAAATTATCAAAGAACTCAGGAAAAAGTAATATATATAAAAGTAAGTAATATAAATATAATAATATAATATTATAATAATAATATATTATATTATAATTATTAATATATTATATTTTTATTATTTATTATTATATTATATTATTATAATATTATATAATATTATATAGTAAGTAATATATATTGCGTGTGAGCAATATGTCAGACATTATGCGCGCATTTTGCTAGGTTTTTTTTACATTTCTTATAAATATTCTATAGCTGAACGCTGTCATGCTGCAAACTTCGCTAAATATAAAAAATTATAGGCTGAACCATACCCTTTTAAATGAGACCTGAACCAAATTCATCCCAGGCACCCTGAGAGTAGGATGTTTGTTTATATCTAGAGGTGAAAGAAGAAAATTGGATTTGAAATTTAAAATTTAGTACATTTCAATCAAAAATGCTGCTATTTTAGGTTTTCGTGGTCGATAATTACACGGAGAAAAATAAATAGTAATAATTATACTATTTTCGATGAAAAATTACTACTTTCAAGTAGTAATTTTAAAACTGTTCAAGAAATAGTAACTTTTGCTCGCTTTCAAAAAATTTTTACTTTTTTAAGAAAGTATAATTTACTTCAAGGAATCTAAATTTTATTAAAAGCCGAGTAATATTTAAAATATCCCGAGCAATTAATGCTCTGAGCGAAGCAACTTTTATTACGAATCAGGGCAATTATTACTATTTCGTAAAGATTTTTACTTGGAAAAGTAGTAATCCGTACCCACACAATGACGCGCGTCACACCGACGGGTGAAACGAATGCCGGCGCGCCTGCGCGTCTGTCCACGTCGTGACGAAAAAATTGCTGGTGTAGAGAGCTATATTTTGTCGTTTTATTTTAATAAATTAAAATAAAATAATCAATGCGTTCAAAAAATATTTTTTCAAGTAATTAACACTCTACATGTGTATTATTATTCATAAGCTTCACTCTTTTACTATATTCATATTTACAATTATTAACAACTTAACATATCGGAAAATCTTAACATCTATACAGATTCGAACAACTAACTTGCATAACTTACCTAACTTACATCTAATGCAACCTAAAATCGCACGCATTTACACCAAGCCTCTTGGCTACTCATTCGCTATGGGAAAAAAATTCTGTTATCCGCATATATCCCTTTCCCATGTAGAACGTAACATTACAGTAATATTACCCGATAAAATTACTGTAACATTATAGTCATATTAAAATGTCCGCCTGATGGTAATATTATCCATCAATATTACAGTAACATTACAGTAATATTATGCGGTAATATTTCTGTAACATTACTGTAATATTACATACTTAAGAAAAAATTGGAAAAAGTTTATTTTCTAACGATAAAATAAAAAAAATTTCTTGTTTATTCATTAGATATGCATTTCACAGCCATTTTCATTTACTTAACATGCTCGTGTAATATTACTGTAACTTGACTATGTTTATTTACATAAGCTACTGAATTAAAATATAAACATTAATAATAATAATGCAAGAATAATTTTTTTTTATTAAGGGTTACGATAAAAACAATACAGAAAAATACAACAGATACAAAAATAGTGCTATAAAATGTCCATATGAAAAAACGTCCCTCCTTTCTTCCTCGCCTCAAAGGACTATCGGAACCGCTCTCGCAATACTTCAGAAGTCAGGGTCAAAGGCGACATTTAGCCGAGTTTCGGCTCTCTACTAATTACCAGCCTGGGTTTTTTGTTCAGTCTATTTATCTAAGTCCTTCTTTTTCTCTCTAAGGATTTGTTCCACGTATCGTTGCACTTCTTCCCAATTTTCTTCGGTTTTTATCATCTTTGAGATAATGTTTTCGGGTGTCACTTGACCAAGAAGTATCTCTAGCTGCATTCTTTTGTTGGTCCATCTTACACAGTGAAAGAAGGTGTGCTCTACGTCGTTTTTGTTGCTGTCTCCATAAATACAATCTGAATCTCTTACTTTAGCTATTTTATGTAGATAGGATTTAAAATACCCGTGGCCACTCAGAAACTGGGTTAAATAATAATTTGTTTCCCCCATCTTGCGATTTATCGACTCGTCCAGCCGACTGATAAGTCTATGAGTCCATCTGCCTCTGTCTTCATTTGCCCATCATTCTTGCCAGGTCTCCATGGATTCTTTTTTTTCTAATCTCCGTGCTTCATTTAGTCCTTCCTTCGCTTTGTTTTCACGGATACTTCTTCTCTCTGCTACCATGAGATCTATTGGTGTGGTGCCTGTTATCACCATGATTGCCGGCTCAGAGACCGTGCAGTACGAACACGCCACTCTGAGTGCTCCAGTCCAGTACTTTTTCATTTTTAGTACTTTCGCAAACAGCTCTGCTTCATATAACAGGATGGAGTTAGTCACTGACATCAAGATACGTATCTTGTTTTCAGTAGGGCCACCTACGTTGCTCATCAATTTACAAAGGGTTAGTATTATTTTTGCGGCCTTGTCCGTTATAGCGACGATGTGGTCGTAGAACGTCATTTTACAGTCGAGCTTTATTCCAAGGTATTTCACTGACCTAAGACTACTGATTTTTTCTTCTCCTACTACGAATGGAACCTCCAATGCTATTCGTTTTCTGGTGAGAAGCACGATTTCAGTTTTCTGGATGGTGAAAGTGAAGCCGTGTTCCTCTATCCACGGTTGGATTCTCCTCATCAATTGGTTCAGCTTCATCGTGGCCGTCTCTATATCTCGGGCAGAGATGATGGCAGCGAGGTCGTCTGCGTATCCGACCAGTATGGTGTCCTCCGGGGTTTCAGTCTTTAGTATTCCGTCGTAGGTGATGTTCCACAGGTCAGGTCCAAGGATTGAACCCTGCGCCGCTCCAGCTGTTATGTTCTTTTGACGTTCTCCTTCGGTGGTCTCGTAGAGTAACACTCTGTCTTGCAGATAACTATTAAGTATTCTTAACAGGTATCTTGGCAACCTGAAATCTTCCTTTCGGGCCTTCCGCATATTTGTCCATCTCATGGAGTTGAAGGCGTTTTTGACGTCAAAGGTTACAAGCATAACTACCTTTCGGGAGAAATGGTTCACCTGTTGGGCCGCACAGTGGGACTTTTTGCATTTTTTTTTGTCAAAATCTAATATCTCGCGATAGAATGAACCAAAATGAGTGATTCTTGGATTAAAATAAAGCTAGATAAATACAAAATAAGAAAAAATTATAGAGAAGCTTTTTTTTAATTTTCCTTCTCCAGGAAACATTCGAGAAGTTAGCAATTTAAATAAAAAAACGACAAATTGAAGTATACAGACCAAACAAATTTGTGAAACTTTACAAAACTCGTTAATGGTAAGCTTCTAAGGTCGCTAGATTAAAATATGAATGAAACTGTAACTTTCAAAATGGCGAATACAATATGGCGGACTAAAATCTTAAAAAATAATCGATTTCTTCAAAACTTGGTTTTTAGATGTTTTTTGGGTCGTAGAATATAAATATAACATTCAAATTGAGAAATTCAACATGGCGGATCCAATATGGCGGACTGAATTCCAAAAAAATACTCGATTTTTACCAAACTTAGTTTTTAGATGTTTGTTGGGCCGCAGAATATAAATATAATATTCAAATAGAGAAATTCAATATGGCAGATCCAAAATGGCGAACTAAATTCCCCAAAAATACTCGATTTTTAAGAAACTTGCTTTTTACATGATTTTTGAGTAACATAATTAACTTTGTAAACATGTTTATTATAATTTGTTAACAGAAGATAAATAATTAACCTACAAACTTTTATAAAACTCTAAATGCACTTTCAATGAATACTTTAAACTTAGAAACCTAATCACATATGCGTTAGTACAAATTATCATAAGAGAATTTTAAGGCCTTGTCTTCTCCTTTTTCAGTCCTCTGACGAGTATCCATCACGTTCTGAATTCTCGTCACTTTCGATTATATCTTCAACTATAATGTAAAAGCATTATAGATACAAAATCATTTTAATATAAAAGTGAATTTAAATTTTATATAGATTATTTTATAATCTCAATCTCGATTTTCTACAAATAATATTTATTTTACAAACATTTCCATTAAAACCTTATTAGAGCATTTTACTTACTTTCTTCGCTACATTTAACAAATCAGCTTTTATCCCAAAGTCATCAAATAGTCTTTTTTGAATTATTTTTTTCTGCTCGTTGAATTGCTCTATGAATAGATTATATTATTTATTAATCACTCTTATTTACTATTTATTTACTACTCAGAAAAAGTCTGTTATAATTATTATTATTATTATTATTATTATTATTATTATTATTATTATTATTATTATTATTATTATTATTATTATTATTATTTTTTTTTTTTTTTTGCTTAGGGAATTTTGGGAAATCTGTTTACAGATACCTTGGATTCCGCACTCCAAGGTTATGTGGGGTTGGTAAAATAAAAAAAAAGGGAATTTAAAAAAAAGGATAAATAAATAAATGTTATAATAAATTTAATAAACTGGCGACCTACTACCAGCCCGACCCACTAAAACCCGTAACCCTTCTTTTGGAGCCCTTTACCCTCCCTCGGAACTGTCGTAAGACTTTAGCCTTCGAGGGAGGCGCTCCAACTCTATCGCTGCTGCGACTTTGTTCTGTGTCTGCGGTTCTCCTGCGTCAATAGTTAAAAAATTTAAAACTATTTCAATATAAAAGCGGAATTAACAGCACAACAACAATAAAAAACAAAAATTTTAAGAAGTTTAAAAAGTCAAAAGATAAAATTATAAACGGATATATAAAAAAAAATAAAAATAAACGCGTATAAAATATTGAAAACATAAAATTGTACAAAGATGAATAAAAAAAACAAAACAAATTTAAAAAAAATGTATAGGGACAAATAAATCACAAAATAAATTAATAAAAAACAAACAAACAAATTAAAAGCTGTTTAAATTACGCTTTTTGGCGACCGTCGAGATCCTTCCTCGACATAACCGAGATTATGAAGTTCTCGACTTGCCGCCAATTCTCTTCCGACTGGGTCATCAGCGATACCATATTCTCCGGTGTAACTTGACTGTTTACACCTTCGAACATGGCCCGCCTCTCCAAGTCCCATTTTTTGCATGAGAAGAGGGTGTGCTCCGCGTTGTCCTCAGGGAACTGGCAATATGCACACACCTCGTTCTCGCGTAATTTAAAGCGACACAGGTACGAGTTAAAACACCCGTGACCTGTGAGCGCCTGAGTCAAATAATAGGAAACCTGACCGTGTTTCCTATTTATCCAGGTGGCGAGTGCCGGGATAAGGCGATAGGTCCATCGACCTTTTCCCTCACCATCCCATCTTTCCTGCCATCTTTCTATGAGCCTGTGCCTCGCTTCTTTGCGGATCAGGCCCTTGCTTGGTCTTAATTCCTCATCCCAGGAGCTGCTTTCTTTAGAAAAGAGAAACATTTCTTCCCTTTCCCTCGCCAAGAGATCTGCTGGCGGGACACTTGCAAGGACCTGCACAGCACTCGTAGATACCGTCTTATATGCAGAGATGATACGCGTTGTTATCGATCTCTGCGCCGACAGTATCTTTTCACAGATGGTAACACATCTTTTACTCCTCAGGGATGGGGCCCACGCTGGTGCTGCATAGAGCATTTTAGCGTGGGCGACACTCGCCACCAGTCTTCTTTTTTGTTCACGGGGTCCGCCAACATTTGGCATTAACCGTGAAAGATTAGCCGCACACTCGATCGCCTTATTAGACGCCGTAGCCATGTGGTGGTGGAAGTTTAACCTTCCATCCAACTCCACACCAAGGTATTTAATTTGTTTACTCCACTTGACCTCGAATCCGTCTATCACGATTCGTGGGAGCTCATAACCACGTCTGTCTGTGACTAGCAGTGCCTCGGTCTTTTCCAGGGCCATTTCAAGACCTCTGGTATCCAGCCAGCTTTTTGCTAGTCGCAGACATTCGTTCACCAATGTCCCAAGAGCCTCCTCACTCTCGGCAGTGCACACGAACAACGCGTCGTCCGCAAAGCCGATGATCATCGCACCTTCGGGCAGATCCATTCGCAGAAAATCATCGTAAGATACATTCCATACAAATGGACCCACCCTCGAGCCTTGAGGAGCCCCACGCTGCATCTCTTCCCTGAGAGTACAGGTGTCTCCCTCATATATAACCCACCTGTCGCTAAGATAATTATCCATTATCCGCAACAAGTAGGGCGGCATGTTTTTCTTTTCCATCGACTCGATGAGATCTTTCCATCTTGCGGAATTAAACGCGTTGCGTATGTCAATTGCTACCAACGCGCAGAAGCTCTTCTTTTTCCCAGGTCCCAATTTGTTTTTTCCTGCTTTGGCTATGTCCACAACTGCCTGGATGGCATCAACTGTGGACTTGCCTTTACGGAAACCAAATTGGTAATCGGATAGACGATTCTCTTCGGTCAAGTGGCCCTGCATTCTCTGGAGAACCATATCCTCTAGAAGTTTACCCATCGTATCTAGCAGGCATATAGGCCTGTACGATGAAACCTTATCTAGAGGTTTTTCACCTTTCCTTAGGAGGACTAACCTCTGTCGCTTCCAGTCGCGGAAGAACTCTCCTCTCTCAAGGCAAAGATTGAAGCATCGAAGCAGAATCTGGGGTGAAGTGTCGATTACCAACTTTAGGATCTCGTTACTTATCCCATCGATTCCAGGCGCCTTGCCTGTTTTTAATCTTTTGCCTGCTTTTTCAGTTCACTAAGTGTGAAGAGTTCTTCCTCTTCGACCTTGCAAAAACTCCAGTCCCTTCTAAGGTATGGTTCTGCAGGAGGAAACAAAGAACTTATTATCTTTCTGACCCAATCGGGATTGTCCAGGCCGGGGGTCTTTTGCCTCGTCACTAATTTCTTAGTTACGATTTTAAAAGCCAGACCCCATGGGTCCTTATCGACCTCCTCGATTAGGTCCTTCCAGCTACGGCGTCGCGACTTGCGGATCTCTTTCTTGAGGTCCTTTTTCGCCTCCTTGAAAGCCTCTTTCAGCAAGGGATCTCCCTTAGAACGGGTATATGTCCTTCTTGCTTTGAGGCATTCCTTTCTCAAGGAGGACAGTTTTTCTGACCACCAGTGCAAGGATTTTTTCCTTGGAAAGGCGCCTTTGCGACGTGGCATCGACGCATTGCAAGCGGTGACGATTATATTTCGCACCGCTCGCACCTCTCCATTTAGACTTTTCGGCCTCCTCACCCAACCAGAATCCTCAATTAAGATAGATTCTTTTAGGGACCGGCTGAACTTCTCCTTGTCGAGTTTCTTAATGTTCCACGAGAAGGTTTTGCGACTAGGAGCTTCCTGTCTCTTTCCTCCTCGTGTGTCTCCCATTGAGACTGAGAACTCAATGTACTGGTGGTCACTTGCTGTATATTCCTCAGAGACCCGCCAGTCGCTTATGCGGCTAAATATATTAGACGATGCTATCGTTAGATCTATTATCGATCCGATCGCACCTCGTCTAAACGTCCATGTTTTTCCCCGGTTTACAACTAATAAATCGTTCTTGGAGATCATTTCTCCAATCAGAATTCCTCTCTTGTCGAGCCTCGTCTCACCCCACTCTGGCGACTTTGCATTAAAATCGCCAGTGATGATGACATCCAGCTTGGATTCTATGAGGCTCGATTCTAGGTCTTCTATATTGGCTTCGAAGGTGGTCAGCGGGTCGCTGGGTGAGAAGTAGCAGCTATACATACGTATGTTAGCCACCTCTATCCACACAAACCCGCTGCTTGTCTCCAAGAACTTGTCAACCCGCAATTCTGGGTTGCACAGCTTGATGGCGGCTCTCTTCGCCTTATCCTGATACCAAGGTGCGAGGTCGCTTCCTTGATACTGCTCACTGCAGAACAGGATATCCACCTCATTTTCCCTAGCTGTTTGCATCAGGAGCACCTGTGCATCCTTACTTGTATGCAGGTTGACTTGAAGGAGCTTTAAGGATTTGCCCTTTTAAGTTTCTCCAGTTCCTCCTTGTAAACCGGGCAGGAAATTCTTCCAGGGATATGGTTGACTTCCGTTTTTCCCAAATCTGTACACGTTATGCACTTTGGCATAACCAAATTACCATATTAGTACACTTTTTGGAGAAGTGTCCCGCTTCGCCGCATCTCCGACAGTTTTTTGTTCTGTCGGGGCCCTTGCAAATTCGGGTCACGTGTCCATAGGCTAGGCACTTTTGACATCTTGTCACTTCTAAGTGCGTTCGGATGGATGCATTTATCCAGCCAATACGCACTTTGCCCAGCTTAAGCAGACTCTCGCTGTCCGTTTCATTCAAGCGTACTAGTGCCACTTTCGTACCACCAAAACGTGTCAGAAGTCGGCAAGTCACCTCTAATTCGGGCTTTTGCAACTTCTGCTTTAAGACGGTTAAAACGTCCTCCTCTAAAGTTGTTTCGACAAGATCCCGAATTTCGAGGGTCTTTTTACTGACAAGAGCCGTAACATTATTATTATTATTATTATTATTATTATTATTATTATTATTATTATTATTATTATTATTATTATTTTTTTTTTTTTTTTTTTTTTTGCTTAGGGACTTTTGGGAAATCTGCCTACAGATACCTTGGATTCCGCACTCCAAGGTTATGTAGGGTTGGTATGATAAAACAAAAGGAAATATAAAAAAAAGAAAAATAAATCTATAAAAAATTAAATTTAATACACTGGCGACCTACTACCAGCCCGACCCACTAAAACCCGTAACCCTTCTTCTGGAGCCCTTTACCCTCCCTCGGAACTGTCGTAAGACTTTAGCCTTCGAGGGTGGCGCTCCAACTCTGTCGCTAATGCGACTTTCTGCTTTTCTCTGCGGTTATCCTGCGTTAATAGTTAAAAATTTAATACTATTTCACTATAAAGCGGAACTAACAGCACAACAATAATTAAAAATAACAAATGTGTAATTAAGTGTAAAAAGTCAGAAGATAAAATTATAAACGGATATATAAAAAAAAGAAAAAATAAACGCGTATAAAAAATTCAAAAAACATAAAACTGTACAAAGATGAATAAAAAACACAAACAATTAAAAAATGTATAAGGACAAATAAATCACAAAATAAATTAATAAAAAACAAACGAACAAAATTAAAAGCTGTTTAAATTACGCTTTTTGGCGGCCGTCGAGATCCTTCCTCGACATAACCGAGATTAT